TCCTCAACGGTACTTGCTGTGTTGATACTCGTATCTATCATAATTATATGGATTTTCCGCTACGAACTAGCTCTGCATATCTTACATGTTCTTATTATTATTTATTTGAATAGGAACGTGAAAGACTCGCAGAACAAATGTAAGTCTTCACCAGTGAAACTTTAATATTAATTTTACGGGGATTCAGATTATTTGAACGGGGAACTATAATACAATCATTTAGCCGCAAAAAAACGTCAGCGGGCATAAAAACAATCCTATTCAGCCAAATCGAAGCGAATGGAAAACATAATGGGTGTATTTGATCATTTATACTATCATCTTATCCCGCAGAAATGCTAGTGAAAATTTCTAGGATCTAAGAATCTAGGAACTCGATATACCTCGATATTTAGTATGTAGTTATATAAAATAAAATATTATTGCAATTATTGTACCGATAACGTCGTACACTTTATAAGTTATTGCATAAACGACTTCAACTATCTTCAGTGCAGTTATACCTGTTATAATAATCCTTACTAATATTATAAATCGGAAAGTAAGTTTGTTTGTTTGTTCCGATTTCACACCGTAACTACTAAACCGATTGCTTTGAATTTTTGCAGACGTAAAGTTAAATGTCTGGTTTAAATAATAGGGTACTTTTTATCCCGGAATAATTTGATATTCCCGAGGGAAAACAAAAGCATTGGTATAGATGGCGCTGTATGTATTGGTATACGTCACATAGGCTACTTTTTATCCTTTTGTGACGCGAGCGAAACCGCGGGTAAAAGCTACTACTATATATAGTAAGGTAATATTGTTCTACTGTTTAAAGGAAAACATCGCGTTGTTGAGAGTCAATAAAATAGAGGAGTTAATCATTATGGCCATTGGCCGCGTTGGTGTTCCGCATTGTCAACAAGGTAAAGTACCAAGATTGTAGGTATATCTAAGCTAAGCCATACATAATAGTTGATACAAAAGGATTCATTAATGCGGAATGCAAAATTGGTTTCTATTTACACTAACATATGAGTAACAATAGTAGATCGTTCTTCAAAGACAAGTCCCTTGCATACGGTGGATTGAGTTCCGTGCGCGACTCAATGACCCATCAGACTGGACCAGATGGACAGATGGAACCCAATAGATCTGACGCCAGATCCGGAGCTGCGGAAAACGTGGTTTCGTAGCAGGAATAGGAACGGAGTGGTTTTAGTCAATTAAAATTTAACACTTGTCTCACCCAAGGTGGGAGAAGTCATTGCATGATTCTCCCCCTAAAAAAAGGCAGAAGTGCAACAGTTTTCGCGATTTGGCATTGGGTAGCTAACGAGCCGACGGATTACCTAATGGTAAGGGATGAATGTCGCCCATGGACAATAGCAACACCAGAGGAGTTAAAGTCTACCAACTTTTTTAAGGATCATTTCTTTAGGGATTTGATCCTTAATCATTAAATATTTGAGATTGGAATGGAGCAGGAGTATTGCGGCTTCGGTTACTTACACGGCAAAATACAACGCTTTGAGTGTCGCACACCAGTTTTTGTGATGCCACGATATGTATAAGTTCGGTCGAGCCCACCCTTTCGTACTGAAGCGTGGCTCTCTTTTCCTTATAAAAAAGATACTGGTATATAAATTAATTTAAAAGATTTATTTCAAATTCTCAAACTGGTACTTTTGAAACGTGACAATCGATTTATTAGGCGTTCATTCTAAACCGTAGGCTGGTTTCTAACGCTAACAACGGCTATAAACTTTAATGAACACACGCTTATTATGAGAACACAGTGAAAAGCCAGTAAAAATATCCGTAGTCTAGTGAATACGATAGTACTTAAATCTTATAAAGAAATCAATGCGCACGAGTGAACGTACGTAGTATTGCAGTTATATTACCATGTTAGATTAGATCATGTTGGTAATTACATCATCGGTACTTTCATGTGAGATGAATATTTCGATAGCTACTCTGTTGCTATGTTGTTCATATAGTGGGCATGAACTCCCTACTTGTGTGTCACTTACTACTGCTAGTTGACACTGAACTGTGACACTGAACAGCTTTACTGTCATTAGCTAATATAATATAATTATTAGTTTATATAAGTCCCATTCAATTTTAACTGTCAATGTCACACATATATCTTTACCAACCATCCAAATTAGACAAAGACCTCCATTTCTCTGTAAATCTTGAAAATCGTAGACAAAACTTCGGATATTTTTTTGAAGTGATCAGTGGTAGAATTAAGAAATGTGGTCTGGACACAAAAATCTAAAATGTGCTATGTAAACCTCTTCTGCATGACTATTTGCGAAGTGATATAAAAACAAAAGTAAAGTATAACAACCTGGTTCCCGACCTTAGACACATTAACGTTGTAACTTGCGAAAGTTCGACGTAAAAAGTGGAATCCCATTGAGATCTGATTTTATTTAAAATTCATTTTCCATTGTAGGCACAAACAATAACACGCGATTTCCAATGGAATGGGAGAAAACTGTGGTTACAGACGCATTTGAAGTAACCACGTGATCATAGCTGTTGTTACAATTGCTTGTGTTACAAATTTTTTGAAGAAACTTCTATGTAAGGAGACTTTTTAGAAGACTGCACAAATCCTAATGTGATTTTAGGATTCGTTTACGTTTGCACGTTTCTTTAACCTTGAGTAATCCAAATTATTCTAGGTTGGACTTTGGAGTTAACTTGGGTTAATGATGGAGAATCCAAACCCATTATGCAGATCCAATGAAATATCATTAATTAAACATTATAATATATACCTACGTGTGTTAAACTGAGTGATATTATCAAGAAGATATCATATGAAGCGACGAACAGCAGCTTTTTTAAAGCTTTGGTTTCAGCCCAAATGTATTATGCAACTATGGCAGTATCTACCAATATTTTATTATTTGTCTTTTCGACCTACCATCCGTGTGTTACTGCAGGGTGCCACCAGAAGACCAGCGTTGAGTGTTACAACGCTCAACATAATGCTGATGCATGTATTTTTGCCAACTTTGCGATGTTTATTTTTTGTTTTAATTTGTTGTTTACTTATTTTTTTTATTTCTCAATTTTGTCGACATCTCTGTGCATGCAATGTGTCGAATAAATGTTTTTCTTTCTTTAATTTTTTCAATAGGTATTTATGCTTCAATAGCAAAAAAATTGCCCGTCTGTCAATATGAATAGACTTTCAATGGAAAAGCCACAATGTCGCATTTAATTTAGTGAATCGACTGTCAAAGTAATAATTACAGCGACAGTGACATGACACTGTGGCAATTATTACACCATTGCAATCAAGTCTAGCTTACTTGGGGCTCTAATAACCCATAATGACTGCTATACATAATGATTGTATAATAAAGGGATTCGTCGTCTTTACAATGTTATCGTAAGCACAAGAGCGAGTCAAAACTTCGTGATATAAAAGGTATATTTACTTTTTATTACGGTGCGAAACCTTCAAAATACGACTAACTTTATAGGTAGGAAAACCAGGGATTATGGAGTACTTACCTAAGCACCCATAGGGAGCACCGAGGATTCTAAATAGACCAGCTCCGGAACACCTATTATGCAACACCTGTAACGGCTTCGGTACACCGTTAAGGAAAGCTACATCTCTCTTTAGGCGTAGGAAATTTGCCTACACTATTACATTTCGTTTTACATCGTTTTATGCAACACTAGATTTGTTTTGACTGCATCTGACCTGCCCGTCTCATGGGCTCAATTATCGATCCGAAAACTATTTATATGATCAGCTACAACCTGGGTCAGAAGTGCACATGTAACATTGTGATTATAACCGCAGTCACATTGAGAAAATCCATTTGAATGTCAATGACAATCGATACGCGAATATCTATTTATACTTTTAAGGAAAACTGCTGAACCTCATACCTAACAACAGACCGCACCACAAATAGTCTATGAATAAAGTAAATATCATCACTGCTCGCTACTAACTTTATAACATAACATAACATCACGCCTTTTATCCCCGAAGAAGTAGGCAGAGAAGTGCACTTAACACGTTAAACGCCATGGCAGTCACCGGTGACCGACATTAGCGGAGGATTTGCCTTCAACAGTTTTTTATTGGCAGCCAATGCCTTAATGCCACTGTATAATGTAACACCCACTTTTAACTAGCTGATATAGTCCCATGTAATAGGATCTGAGCATATTGCCTATATACCGTCCTATATACCGGGCACAATTCCAGACTCCGTGATACTACTGAGATTTTTTTTTAAAACCCAGTAATACTCTGCCCAAACCGGAAATCGTACAGGAGAACCCTTCACTTGCGACCACTCGGCCAACGAGGCAGAAGGCTAACTTTATATAATTAGGTAAAAAGCATTTATTAGCAAGTTCGGTCCTTTACATTCTAGGTGTACATTACCCAATACATACATGCATATCCTATTTATTATTCTGATTGTAGCACATTATGGCTGGACGACTGGTCACCATTTATTTACCACGCTCCACTTGTTCGCTGTGTCAGTGAAGCAGCAATATACAGTTCCGTTAAGATTTATTATAGAATTTTGCGTCTTAAGCTTTAAGATTTCTATTTCTATTTACGCTACTTGCTTTGAATGCAATCATCATAATTTCACGCTTGTTATCACTCGAAGAAGATAGAAAATACATAAAAAATAAAGATTTTTTGTCAAAATACGTACTTATCCTAGTTTAATTTGATTAAATGTATGTACCTATTCTCTCTAAGTTTGTTGTAAGAATTAATGTTTTCTAATACCTCCCGCAGTTAATTTAATCAGGATTATTAATAATGAGGAAATCCAGTGTGTTATTGTTATGTGATTCAAATGTGTCTACGTTAATATTCTGAACTGAGCGATTTAGCAGACTGCGATTCTACAAAGTTATAGAGGGGTTATATAGGTTTATGCCTTAAACTCCTCGCTCTTCAACATCAAAACCTGGTAACTAAAATCAACCATTTTCCACAGGATGACAGACTACGAGCGCATCAAGCAGACGTGCCTGGAGAAAGGGGAGCTCTGGGAAGACCCTGATTTCCCCGCTAATCAGTCCTCAGTGTTTTACTACCAGACTCCCCCTTTTCATTTTGAGTGGAAGAGATCTAAGGTATGTGTCCTTATATTGATAAATTAATGTGCGGCTAATAGATAAAAATCCAAGAATGCATTAAATATAACTTCAGTCGAGAAACCTCAGCTGTCTGTTGGTATGCCATTTTACAACCCCGTTGGAAGTGCATTTGCAACAAGATATTCGTGTCTTGAGTAAGTGACAACTTACCGGTCTGCCACTTACCCGTGTGGGTGTAAAATGCCTTAAAATATTGCGAACGAACTACTTCTTGAGTATCGATTGACCATATTTCTTACATCACAAGGCCGCAATGCATAAAGCTTTCGTAAAGATATACAATATACACGTACCTATTGCCCAAATGTTATACGAAAAAGAGCACAATACGATGACGTCATAAGAAAAAAATGATTCGAATCTCGTATCGAAGACACGCGATTGTAAACGTCCCGTTAGAAATTATAACACTGCCGAATACGATCTTGTGTAGAAACTAAGAGTTATTCATGATCCACGAACTTTTATTTTAGTAGGTTTATCGCCATAGAGCGAGCTCTTATGTTCACAAGCGAAGCGGATTACTCATCATCATCATCCGTAAGATTACAAAATTGTCTTCAACAATAAATAAAAATTATTTATGCAAATAAAACTGGCTGACAAATGGCATGGTTTTCACATGTGAAAGTTGTCACTATCTATTTATTATTTTTTACGTAGAAATATAAAATTATTCGTACTTATTCAGTATTCAATTTGCTATTTCAAAAGTCAAGGAAAGAATCGTTTTTTAGATATTTGTTTACAAGCTGCGAGGTCTTAAAACCGGATTGTAAATGAATACTTATTTCTAGCTTATATGCATTTTATGTAAATACCTAAGAAGTAGACTTTATAGGAATACTCAGAACTCATAATGTTGAATGTCAGCTCTATTTGTCTAGTGTTCTAGAACCAAAAGTTAGATTTTTTTTGTCATATAGCTTAAAGCTGTCTTCAGGCCCCAAGAACCCCACAGATTGGGCCCCCCAATAGGGCTGATGCCGATACGGAGCCGCGGAAGACTTAACGGGTTGTCGGGGCTCCGACTCGAAGTGCAGGTGTAGGAGCGGAGTGGTTTTTAGTCAGTAAGAGTCTGACACTCCCTCTCGCCTCACCCGGGTGGGAAAAATAAGTCATTGGATGATTTTCCCCTCTCAAAATACAAAAAAGGCCCCAAGATCCAATGATGTTATAAAAAATTAAAACTGTGAATATTACAAAATAAGAGTAATCTTAAAATTTCTTATTGTTAAAAAGAAACCTTGAAATGTCAACGTTTTCAAAATGTCACAACAGTCATTGTATTCTCAACGTTGCCAAAATGAGGTAGGCTACTTAATCCGACTGCTTCGGGCTGGTGGACACAAACGCAACTATTAAGCAAGAGTATTTAACCGTAAGGATGACTGTTGTAAACACAGAAAAGATAAATTATCTGTGCGTGTTGTAATTCAATCGTATCGTTAGGGAAACATCAAAGAGTAGTTTCTGCCCGAAACTTCGTACGCGCAATCCAGTTGTCTCCTGCCCCTTATGATTTTCAGGGTGTTTTCAGTCTTAAGAACCGCCTCCTCCAACCAAATCGGTCTAGCCGTTCTCATGATATGGCGTGACAACGGGAAACTGGTTTCATTTTTATATATGTATATAGATTCAGGAAAGGACCAGGTACAAAACTTAACCATAAGCATAATGATAAAAGGTCTGTATTTGACTGATAATAATCATAAATCTTATATCTAATGAAGATTATAAATATTATTTTTGTCCGAATGCTTGATGTTTTGCGAAAGAGATGAATGAACTATAGCATCTATTGAAGAGGTGTTTAAATGTATTCTTTCTTTCAATTATATATTTATTGAGTTGTGTAAATGGTTGGTTGTACCGTTCTATTCGTATAAATAAATAAATCTTTACATCTTGCCCTAATCATAGATAGATACAGTATATAGCTCGGTAATCAGATTTTTCTTTCCTTTCTTATAACCTTAAAAATAAATAAAATATTTTTTTCCAAGGCTTTTAAATTGTCCGTCGATCATGGTGCCCTAGTTTCGTCCTATATAAATTATGCAACACTCTTCGAACCTAACCTATAAAACCAAGGTTAACCTTAGGTTCCAATCGAGGCCACTATAAAATTTTACGTTTAACAAATGTCAGTCACGATCACACAAATTATAACTTACATTTCCTCATTTATATTATTTATTTACTAATGCTTGTTTCACATCAAAATCGTCTATTTTTGCATGTATTATTATAACCTACACATGTTTTGGCAAATAAACGATCTTTATCTTTGTCACCCTTAACAAGCTTTCAATTTTCTGGAAAATGTAATTAAAATGCAAACTATAAAAAATATAAGTCTCCTAACGGGAAATGTGACATCTGCTTTTTTTAAATTAAAATTTATTATTATTTATGAAACGGATACACCATTGTTATTCTTAATCCGTATTAATAATAAATCTCCCGATCGGTTTCGGTCATGGTGGCCTGTCTGTTTAACTAGACTAGCCCACTACGTAGGAGATACTATAGTGCACAGATGTGTGCGCAAAGACATATGCACTCTCTGTTCTGTCACTCTCTGAACCCGACACACACCGACACGACCGGAGAGAGGTCAGGCACTGGATCTACGGTTTTACTTGCTTTCCGAGGCACGGGAGTGAGACACCGCCGAACTTCCTGACATCGGGCTACTAATGGTTATTTTACTCAGTAAATGCCATTACCACTTTTTAGCCGGCGCGGGGATTGAACCTGCGATACGTTGCACAGGAACCGGTCACTGAGTTACTGCGCCAACCGTGTAATCCGTATTATATTCCCGAAATAAGAACGAAGACTATAAAACATTTTGAAAGAACGGACTCTTCAGATTATGAAAATAGGAAGTCTGAAGAGTCCGTTCTTTTAAAGTCTTGTTCCATAAATCCTTACTAACATTATAAATCGGAAAGTGAGTTTGTTTGTTTGTTCCACTTTCACGCCGTAACTACTAAACCGATTGCTTTGAAATTTTGCAGACGTAAAGTTAGAAGTCTGGATTAAATAATAGGGTACTTTTTATCCCGGAAAAATATTCTCGAGGTGAAACGAAATTATTGGTATAGATGGCGCTGTGTGTATTGGTATATGTAACATAGGCTACTTTTTATCCTTTTGTGACGCGAGCAAAGCCGCGGGTAAAAGCTAGTTAATGCTAATTGGGATATTTACAAAAAGGACTTTTAGGGAATAATGTCTCACGACGGCATATCAAGCGAAGCCTGCTCATTTCGCTCGACATATTATAAGGCGACGACACGCGGCTTTTATCCACAGCGACGTTGATGTTGCTAGACATGTCGACCAAAGTCCGGCAACGCCACGCTACTTCACCCAACTTTGCTGGCAACACGTATTGTAAGATATTTGTCCCCTAGTGTACCCTTGGGTTTAGGTAGGTAATAAAACTTAAAGCCGTTGAAAAATTTCATCATTGCAGTAAGCGATAGCGACAGTGTGACGTTTTAGACATACACAAGTAACAAAAACAGTCAGAAACTAGTTTGTCTAGATTTCGAAATGAATATTAATTTGGTATTAATACCTCGTATCGATACAATACCTATTCGATATTTTTAGATCGCGGATCATCATTAGGATTGCAGAAATATCTTAGTAAATAAACCTACTAAAAATGTCCACGAGTTTACGTATCTACTTTTTTCTCAAAGTTAACTCCCATTTCAGAATTATATAGCCTTGGCCAAAAGTATTAGGCACCCTATGAATTATTTCATATTTTTGTTTTAGAGAGAAACAAAACTCCTTTTGTTGATTAATTAACTTTATTTCTATTAAAACACACAAAAACATAAATATTTTGTTGGATCACCCTTTGATTTTATTACAGCAGCAACTCTGTGGGGTATACTGCGTACAAGGTTTACGCATTCCTCTTGAGAAATTGCTTCCCATTCGTTAACTAAAGCATGTTTTAATGCAGTTTTTGATGTTGTGGAATATATTTTGATTTCTTTCTTTAAAATACCCCCCAAATGTTCAATTGGATTTAGATCCGGGAACTGGGCAGGCCAAACTAACAGGTCAATACATTTGTCAGTAAACCTGTGTAATGTGTCGCTGAATTATGACAAGGCGCGTTTTCCTGATGAAATTTAACACCGTGTAAATTAGTGTCACCAAAAATACACGAAAATGAAGGTATAACAGCACTTTCTAATACATTTATGTATTTTTCACTGGTTCATGCGACCTTCATAAATGCACATTTTGCCGACTTAATTTACAGCCATGCAGCCCCAAATCATTACGAGGCTTCTGCCGTGGTTTATGGTTGGGACTACGCAATCTGAGTGATATTCTTCGCCTATGCGTCGGCTCACAAACGTCACACCTGGTGTTCAAAATACCTGAAATGATAAAACAAAATTGACACAATACAAATCTTTATAACATTTGAGTTTGAAGACTAATACAATAATAATCGTTGCAATTGTGTTATGGACTCAATTAATAAAACTTACTTCAAAGTTTGATTCGTCGACCATTGTACATTTGAACAATCCTCCTCTGTGAAATGTTGGTGTCTCAGAGCCCAACCAAGACGTTTTCTTTTGTTCTCTGCTGAAAGACACGGCTTATTTCTGGCTTTGTAACCTTTTAAACCTGCTTCTATTAGTGTTCGTCTTGCAGTCCGAGCGCTTATGGGTTTACCAGCCTCTTCAGTTAAAGCTGCAACAAGCTCCAAAGTAAATTTTTTTCGGTCTTTGATACGCTCGCGGTTATGTTTCCTGTCCTGGTAGCTAGCAGTCACGCTATTTCTGCCTGTTTTTGTTTTATTCGCATCAGTACCGGTCCCAGCAAAACGTTTAATAGAAGATTGAACTGCGCATCGCGAATATTTTAACAACTTCGCAATTTCTTTCTGGGTCTCTCCTTGCTAATGTAAAAGTTTAACTTACACACGTTTTTAAGACAAATTTCGTTTCTAATTAGCATTTCCAAATAAATCTGTTCTCTATTTAATCAAAAAACTACAAATGTTCTGTCTTTATGCGAAGACTTCCCAATGCAGACTGATCAAACATTAAAAGTAAGTTTTGTAAAAAAACAATATTGTGTTATTGATGCACCATATGCTATACAACCACTTAAATATAGCCGCCCAATATCTTAAATCGTGGTTTATGACACCGAGATCATCTTTCAAAAGAATATTAACTCATTGTTTAAATAGCACGGAAACTTTATTGGGGGTGCCTAATACTTTTGGCCAAGGCTGTATATCATATATAAGTATTGGTGCGTCATAATTTCTTTAACTCGGAAACCGATATATTTCAGTCCTCAGAGATTGGAATTACTCTTCACCATCAACAATGACACCTGCCCCAGACACATCAGTGAGTGCTGGTGCACATACTTCTTCTGCAGAAAAGGGTTTGCCGTAATCTTCATACTTAGTAATTGGGTTAGAAATTGCAATATAAAAGACTTTGGTTTCCGAAAACGCTGCTCCTAGTTCCTGTCGCTAGTAATCCCTTTGTTGACTGTTGTGACGACACCTCGAGAAGAGTTGGTGATAAATACACCACACATCAGTTTTGTATTGCTAGAGCGGTTCTTAATATGTTTGCTTCATTACAACAACAAAGACTAACATGTACCTCAGTCCTGCATGAAGTAGAAAGAAATCAAACTAGGGTACATTTTTTTGGTTATAGAGATTGGTAGATTAAATAAAAAAACTGATTATTATTATTTACTTATATGTCGCGTAGTATCGCTTTATATGTTATTATAATATTTTTTCGTGATCGAACAGGATTTGATAGCCATTCGTTTAGTACAAAGCCATCGAATTTGAGAAATCTTAGTCATAAAAGTTAATGATCAGAAAAGCAATTAAGCATGCTTTTAGGAAACTTGCCCTCCTATATTAAGTAATAGTTCATCAAAATTTTAATTATACAATCAAAAATATTATTTTCGTCATGACGCCATGTTATTCACATATTTTTTGTCACATCTTTGACATTGGACCGTATATATACCCAACGTCAAACGTCCAAAGCTAGACAATTCCTAAGAAATTAAATTTAAGTTTAACTGGTGAAGTTTAATTGTGAGATGTGATTTGTATCAAACAATGTATGACATCTTTTTTTATAGATTAGCATAAGATAATAAAGATAATCAGACATTTCTAGTATCCGGAAAACTTAGAGGAGGAGCAATTTTAAAAATAAATTTTTTGGTAATTTATTTTGTCATACACTAACATTGATTTATAACGATGCTATTGAGAGTTTTCTAAACAACAAAATGGAAAACTACATTCCTAGAACAGGAGATCGCACCCAGACTATATGCCGAGTAGTCATGCATAAGACCACTGGTCCAACAAATCATTCAAGTATAATAATGATATCTGTCTTGAATGGCATAGAGTTGTTTTTAGCAACACTTTCCCCGTCAACTAATAGGTACCAACACGCCGGTAAAAACCAGTTAGTAATAATGTGTCACAAAAGGAATGTATGAAAAGTAAGAGGTATTGCGTTGTCAGTGGGTGGTGAACTGCTGGTCGACCTTGTCAGTGCCGCCCACCTACAGACAAGGTGCTCATCACATCAGTTCATTGATACCTCACGGCATTGGGCTGACGGCGAAATTAACAAGTGTCCTTATAAGGAGGAGAGTTACTAAACTTTCGTGGCATTTGTAACCTTATATTATTACGTATAAGTATGCATGTGCATTTTCCATCTATCATCCATTTCTAAGACTATCCTGTTTTTTGAAAAAGTTACTGATGTAATCTAAAACTTTCCTAACGTAAAAGGATGTATATGAGCACTTGCAAAAGATTTTAAACCATAGATTTATAAATATAACATAGATGTCTGGCTATTGTCTACGGGTAGAATTTAGGATCCATCTTGACGGTAAATTCATAAACATACTGTTGTTTCTTTTTTACTTATGTCTCTTTGCTTATGCAGAAAGAGACAACACATTATTGTCATTCTGGCCATAATTTTTTGACGTCATCAGAAAAACCTAGTTGTGCCGAATTGGCCATCTTAGTCCCTGTTATCAGTGCATGTCAGTGGTACATCAGCTGTCAAAGCATTGGTCAACAATATTTTGTTACGAAAATTTGTAGAATTCCTGTTGTTTTTGTGCGTGGTAAACAAAGAAATTATTGGTTAGTGAGAAGAACTATGCCCGGGTGCAGTGTTATTGGATGTAGCACTAAAAATATTACTAAACCGGCAGGTGTAACATTACATCGGTAAGTACTGTTATTTTTCATTAAAATATCTCTGTTTTTCAAACTATTCAAGTGTGGTTGCTGCAAATTGACTAAATACAATACTTTTCTAACTAATGCAGTGCTTATTTTCATTAATTTTAGTTGAAATACGTCTAAAACAATTTTCATTAAAAAATAGTGATGTACATGATTGTTCCCGTATCGATAATTTTATCGTACATAATAAATGCGTCAAAAGTAGAACAAAGAACTATACTAAATTCTGAATGATAAAGTGCATTAATTTGACATAATGACAAAATACAAAAAACATTAAGTACTCGTCAAAAATTTCATTTTATCGACAAAATTCCACCATCGTCAATACCTACGTAATGTAATAAATAATTAATACAATAGAGAATAATTTTTGTACAATATGAGATAAGGAATAATATTGTGGGAAATGCATTTTTGTCAAAATTGATTTTTTTATCAAATGCCGCTCGACGGATTCAAATGAAACAAACAAATGAAATATAACTTTAGGGTATTCTTAGAGTATTTATTAGAATGTGTCGAACTCTGCCGATAATTTTAATAATATTATAAATTTTCTTTTTAGTTTGTGCTTGAACCACGCAGAAGTTCTTGGCTGGAAATAATTAATGTGGGAAATATAGATACTAGAAGGAAACATATCTTTGTTTGTTAACTTTATTTTGAAGATTAATGTTTTAACCGAACAATAAATTAATAGTAAATCTACGTGATGGGGCCCTATCGCTACAAGCTCTATTGGTAAATCATAATGTAAACGATTCATTATGTGTTTTGTTATATTAGTTTTGGAAGCATTTTTTGAAGAGGTGCAAACTTAACATTTTATTTAACATTTATATTAAGTTCATAACTAACCGGGTTCTTGTACCTATATGTTTCTGTTTTCCTCCGCTATCTATCACTATCATTGTAATGTACAAACATTTTCGTTCAGAGCTTAGTACAGTACCTATAGAATCTATAGAAAAATCTATGTTCAATTGGATCAAGTAAGTTAAATTATACTATTTATGTTGCAGCCTCTAGCCAGATATGTGCATGAAAATGAACTTGGAACCAGTTCTGGAGTCTTCTCGAAAGATGGTTTTGCAGATTACATTACAGGGAAACACTACGAAAAATACGAAGATATTGTATATTATAAATCTTGATTTTATGAATACTTTGATACAGTTTTATTTTTCAACCCTCAAAAATTACTTAACCTTAAGTATATAAATATTGACCAGTTGATGGAAAATCCTTTTCATGAATTTCGATACATAAGTATCGTGAAAGTTATGATGTGAATGTATAGGCACGATCGACTGGAGTGACAGTGCACGCAGCAACTACTAAATATATTTCGCTAATATGTTGGTAATGTTTAGCAGCTACATAAAAATTAAATCCAGATGAATCATAAAATAATGATATTTTATTGATAAGTCAATTAAAACCAATTCTAAAATATCGATATTTCTACAGTTTTAAAAGTTACATCCCTAGTTCTATCCGCCATTACGGGTGACCAAGTGAAGTTTATGTAGGCACGATTTTTTCCTAGTTGTTTCTTATCCATACTCTTATCATATCAGTGTTTTAAACCAAAAGTTGTCTGTGCTGTTGTACGTTCTGGTGCGCCTCTTTTCAAGTTGAATCCCCGCTAGATGGCAGCCCATCTCGCCTTTATTCGTATCCTGTTTATTAGGACAGGAAGGATTTTCTTCTTCACAATTTTGCTAACCATAACAATAATATTTTAGTAATGGAATAATAAATCAATACTTATTTATTATATAGCACGCTTGTTTAGGAATTACCTCACAAACTCAAAATAATACTTTATTTTGAGTTCGTGAGGTCTATACTAAACAGTACATCTGTAAAATTATAGATGGCGTTACCAACCTATAAAACATTCACAAGAGGGTTTTGTGTTGCCAATTAAGGAACTGTTTCAACAAATCCAAGAAATAACATTAATTTTTGTCGAGGAAAATAAGGACAAGTAATGAAAAATGTAACTGGAAATATAAGAATACAGTAACTATTATAGGACCTTGCATTATATTTATTTATTTATTTATTTATTAAGGTTTTATACAATTTCATAAGGAAGACTTAATGCTAACAGCATTCTCTGCGTTCATTATAGTACTTGCGTTTCACAATTTTAATACTTTTTCAAGAACTTGACATCAACTGCATATAAAATTTAGAAACTTTCATAGTTATATGTCATAAGACTCTGTTTAATCAAATACATACTGATAGAATAAAACATTTTTATTTCTGACCAGCTCTAATTAAGTATAAACTTCACCTGATTCCTAAGCTATTCAAAAAGTTCTCTCTATAACCAACCATTCCCAAAAAGACATTGAAATTGTAGGTAACAATTATTTTTAAATGAAAATAATTATACAACAAACGGGGAGCTATAAAATTTAGCGTGACAATATTGCACGCCGCGGGTAAATTATGACACTAAAGGTGGCAACCCAGGAATAAAAACGTCACTTGTTAGAGACAGCTGGAATGTTTTTTAATTTATATGTTTTCTTTTTATTTTCAGGAAATATACCCAAACCCTTCGTTTATACATGATAGAAACGAAGTGTTTGATGTTATACCTGGCAAATTGGGTAAGTAAAACAGCTACGCGGCTGAGGTGATGGTATTTTTAGTATTATTCTAAGCAAAGTTGCGCATTTTGCGATTTTAACAATAACTACGTATCTGTGAGTTACAATCAGGAAACACTTTCTTTGATTTAGGTACCATCTCAGTAGCTCAGGAGGTCTCGATAAAATGTTGAAGCGAATGTTTGCAATGCGAAAAAATTTAACTTTTTGTTTGTTTTGGTGTACTAAAAGTTAGTTTTCAATTTTTCGAAAATAATCCACTATGTATACTCGTATCTACATACATTGTTTTTGGAGATTCATTCAATTTTGTCTTAAATAAGCGTTAACCAATTGAGATTATTTAAGGTACAGAAAAAAATTGTAATACTAAGGTACAGCATTGTTAATAGTTCCATGAATATCAGTGTATTGCGCAATTTCGCTATCTTCCTGACTTATAATATGGAGGTATTCCACAAAACGCACCTGATGAAACGCACCTATTTTATTCCACGAAACGCACCCATGTTTAAAATTAGGGAAGAGAATTAAGTAAACATAATAAAATATATCGATAATAATTTAAAGAAATCATTTGTACATCGATATCATCGAAATTTACATGACAAAATAACATTCGTCTCTGAATAGGTACACAAAAAGATATTTTTCTGTCAATTTCTCACTTTTGGTTAAGCAACTTCGATGATATCGATGTACAAATGATTTCTTTAAATTATTATCGATATATTTTATTATGTTTACTTAATTCTCTTCCCTAATTTTAAACATGGGTGCGTTTTGTGGAATAAAATAGGTGCGTTTCATCAGGTGCGTTTTAAAACAGGTGCGTTTTGTGGAATACCTCATAATATGGTACTAGAGATATGCCAGAATTGTATGCTATGGCCTTTTGATGTCTCTGTCTACCCCATTGGGAGACTGGCGTGACGGTGTATAAGTGCATGATATACATGCTCCTGTTGCATTGATCTTTCAATACAGAACTGTACTTTCTGCACTTATGGTCATTTACGCTACCTATGATACAACAATTTTAAGTAATTTGCTATTTAATGCCAAATTTGAAAACTGAGAATTTTAAAATCGATAATGAACAGAATAGTTTTGCAATCCTTATGTCGACATTATAGTTCTGTCACTACAAATTAATTCTAAAATGACAGAGATGCCATGATATTTAAGTACAACTTAGAATTGAGTAACCTTTCAGTATTTGGGCGTTAGCTACTTATAGCCTAAATATAGTTAGAAAAACACTACATTATAAATTGAACATAACATGACATAGCATCACGCTTTTTTATCCCCGAAGGACGTAGGCAGATGTGCATATTACGGCACTTAATGCCACTGTACATAGTTACATCCACTTTTCACTATTTATGTTATGAGTCCCATGTAATAGGGGGTGAGCCTATTGCCATATACCAGGCATTCCAAGCTCGGCCATGCCAATTCCAGACTCCGTACTACTACTGTTTATATTTTATACTGTTTATATGTATAAATTGAAATTCCATCATAAAGGGTCTAAATACAAATTGGTGACAGGAAGTGGCAATACTGATATTAGTAGACTTTATGGAACTACTAAACTAAAACTAAAACTACAAAACTTATACCTCTAATACGCCGTTGCGTGCAACATTCGTTAATCTGGTAAATTGATAGATATCTCAAAGGGATGACTATGAGATGCCATTATCAATAAAGAATTAAATGCATGTTTAAGATAATTTGATAGGTACAAGTAAATACCCCTAAATAGACTCTGTTACATAATTAATATTATTTTAGACTTTTGTCACTTTTCGTCAGTTATGATTCTCATGTGGCAGGATACAAGGCTGCTATATTATAGTAAATAACTGTCAAAGCTGTCGATCATCTAGAGATGAATACTGAAGGCCACCTAATAAAGTCTTTTCGAATTATCTGCCCTAAATCTTTTAATTGATTCATCACATCACAACAACAGCCTATAAGTACCCACCCCTAAGAAGAGGCCTCTTCGCACACAGAGAAAGAATGAGCATAAATCAATAAAGTTACTCAAGGCGGGTTGGCGAATTCGAAATTACATTATAAATTATGAGTCCAGGTCTCCTCACGATGTTTTTCTTCATCGTTCGTCACTTGTATATAACTGATATCGGAAAAGGCCAGGATTTGAACTCGCATCCTCATTCATGGGAAGTGGACATATTAAAACTTCAGCCTACCATGATATTTGCAATAAATAGATTATTATCTGTTTTGAATGTCTAAATTCCAAACAAGCTATTAATATTGCTGCGCGGTATCTTGTCTCACGCAATGCAAATTATATACATGTAAATAAGAAAAGTGTCGGATGACTGTACGTCATCTATTTTAAAGTCATATTACAATAAATAAAAACGGAAAGAAAATATAACCTATGAAATAACTTAAGCTGAGATAATTATATGGTATTTCGGTCTTCTTTCCTTGGAGAAAATTTTAATATTCAACGAGCATATTAATATTGAGCACATTGATAATATATAAGTATGGAAGAGTAAAAATCTCATTCAAATTAAAAAAAAACTAATTTTAACACAAGCTATAAAAGGTAAAGTGTAAGTTTTTAACTAATTACAGAAATAATTATAGGATCATCTTGAGATTAAAATTATAACCCAACATTTGACAATATTATGTAAGTACCTGGGTGTTATAATTTATTTTAGTGAAAATTAGAAAGACTGGGTTCCAAATATCTTCACACAAAATGTTAGGTCAAAATTGCTGACAAACGAAATTTAAATTAAGGTAAAGCCTAAAAAAAATATTTTAATATTCTTTTTCAACACCTACATGTTGAATGATTGTCGACTTTTAGACATTCTCCGCAACCATGAAAATCTACACAAAATTATTAATATTAAAAAAATATGTGTATCCTGCAAATCGTAAAAAAATGAGTATTAACACATCTATTTATAATGGAAAATGTATGAAATAATTTTAGGCTTTGGTTCACCACCTGTGGACAAGTTCTGATTAGTCTAACAAACGTATATTTTGATATATGACATATTATTTAGTTAATATTTTTTTCTGATTCTGATTCTAAGTTAACAGGAATTGAGGTGAAATCGGTTAGTATTCTATAGTACATAAGCTCGGCTACAGATTTTTCTGAGCATGCTATGGCAGTAAAGAAAACAACTTTTTGTACTTCGCAAAATGTTACAATAAATGAGAAAAGAAGTTCGGCACGTTTTTTTTCATATTTCTTGTTAGGTTAGGTACTTACCTATTTACCTAGTCAACTTAGGTACTTAAACAGTATTTTTTAAATAAGTACTCTAAAATCTCAATATTAGCAGTATCGGATTTTTTATTTAGTGTATGATAATATCGGTAATAGACTCACAATGTTTTATACATTATAATATTACGTTAAAATTCGCTGCCAACTTCATGGAACACTGAGTCCGAAATTCAAATTAAGAAATTCACTATTTTATCTGTTAAAATTAATTATATCAGAACATACAATTATTTTCATTTATAAATAATAACTTTACCAACATCTTGGCGATGTTGGCGATGGGCGAATCGGATGTTACAGAAGTTGTAAAACTACGACTACAATACGCAACAACTTCATACCAATATTCTGTCCGTGAATGAATGGCTAGTGGGGTTGCCAGTTAATTACGAAACAGATTTCCCTAAATAAGGGTAAATTACCGGCCACCCATTATTATAGTAGGTACTAAATTATAAAATCATTAGTATATATTTTTGTATAGTAGTTATAATAAACTAGTATGAAATATAATAGTAATAAGATTTATCAATGAGTTTCTACATAATCAGAAGTTCTTATAGAATTTATAGATGCTATAGATTAAACTATTCTCATTCAAGGAGCATGCATAAAAAGAATGATTAATGATGCAAATAAAGTGAAAGAACCTGCTGAAGCCGTGTCGTTTGGCGTTCTATTGTTTGTATTTTGTTCCATTTGCTAATAAAATTACATTTAGTTGAATTTAATATTTATTGCAACTTTACCTGTCATGAAACATGACTGTATAATTATGATAATTTAAAATTTGATTATGTTACACATTAAAATTATAGCTCGTATGTCTTTTACTTTAAAATTTTGTTACGAAGGATAATGACATAGTAAAAGACAATTACTTACTTTTGACCTTACCTTAGAATGCATTCACATTAAATTACCTTAATTATGTATATTATACAACCTATATGTCCTAAAATGTATGAAATTGCACAAGAGCTACATACTAGCAGCGAAATTTTTGGTAGTTCGACAACAAGGTCTTGGCAACACTGTAATGTCAAATGTAGTGTACATCACGTCGACCGTATATTCGTATAGTTCAAAACAGTGTTAGCCGAGAACGTAACGCGGGAAACGTTGCTCGTGCTTACTCCATATCATCGGAACACAAAACAAAATACGCGAGTTTCCACACTTCTTGGATCATACTCTTTTCATTCTCAGTTCGTCATCATTGTTACTTATAATGTTTAAAGTGAAATATCGAACAGCAAAGTGTTTCTTATGTTTATATCCCGTTCACATCTCGTGGTGAAACGTAATAATTATTAGTGACAATTAGAAGTGACTGGATTGATAAAGTTACCAAACGTATAATTATAATGACTTGATTAATGAAAATAACTACAAACTGTGTTTATTAACTGTAACGTGAACGATAAATAAATATCCGCAATAATTGTGCAAAATACTGCGAATAGTGTATTAATTTCGAATACTCCAAGGTGTTGAAAAAATTATGTCTACCGAAGAGAATAAGCAGTCTGGACTCAATGCCACAAACATAGAAAGTTACGAGCAAAGCACACCATCACCACAACTCGTTGCAACGCCACCGCTTTCTGATGAAAGAAATCAAGAAATTGAAATGCTGTGCCAAAAATTTGCTCACCTAAGTTTTTCGTCGACAGCCATAACAGACCCTTTTTTTCACACACACCAAAAAGTATCATCTTACCAAAGTTTTCATATACCGGAAAATATGCATTCGAGTAAGCAACAAGAAAATTCTCAGACAAATGACCAACCACCAAAAATGGTTGACATGTGCATACAAACCTCGGAAAGTTATTTTAAAACTGCTAATATGGATTATTCTTATCAATCAGAGACACCTACAGATTATAAAGAACACACGCCTGAAGATGCATTAAGATCGGCTCAATTATTTCTAAATACACCTGTAACATCTGCTGGAATTGAAGTTCATGATGATTGCTGTATGGATACATCATCACCTAGTACGTCAGAATCGTCAGACAGTTATTACACTTCGTTATCAAAACAAATGGCAACAAACTCAAGGTTAATTGAAGAGGTATTCAGAATGGCAAAACATACTTCACCGAAGCCCATGGAAGTAGAAAATGAATCACCATTATCTATGCATAAAGAAGATGACTTTCTAGCAAATATTCCTTTGCCCGAAGAACCTACTTGTACAAATCACATCTTATCAGAAGAAGCGTCTGCAGAGTCCACATGTATTTTCTATAAAGATGCAAATAATATTAGCACTTCTTCTATTATACCAGAAGAAGAATGCCCAAAGCCTGTCTTACGTTTATCTGAAAATAGTGCTGTAAGTAAAACAAAGAACAAAAAAAACAAAAAGTCCAAAAAACAACTGACACATGATGATCACCACATCAAAAAAGATCATGTAAACTTAGTTTTGGTGGGGCATGTAGACGCAGGTAAATCTACTATTGGTGGACAAATTATGTCTCTAATGGGTATAGTCGACCAAAGAACTCTTAAAAAATATGAAAAAGAGGCACGCGAAAAATCGAGGGAGTCTTGGTATTTATCATGGGCACTCGATACAAATCAAGAAGAACGTGACAAAGGTAAAACAGTTGAAGTAGGCAGAGCATACTTCACCACAAAAACAAAGCATTTCACTATACTTGATGCACCTGGTCACAAAAGTTTCGTACCTAATATGATTGGTGGGGCGGCACAGGCAGATCTAGCAGTGTTGGTGATATCCGCTCGGAAAGGTGAGTTTGAAACGGGATTTGATAGAGGCGGACAAACTAGAGAACACGCCATGCTTGTGAAAACAGCTGGGGTAAAATATATGGTTACCGTTATAAATAAAATGGACGACCCCACCGTAAATTGGAGTCAAAATCGATATAATGAGTGTAAAGAGAAATTAAAACCTTTTCTCAAAAAACTTGGATTTACAGAGTCAAACGATTTGGCATTTATGCCCATTTCAGGACAAACTGGACATGGAATACTCCATCAAGTACCTGAAGATATCTGTCCATGGTATCGAGGACCATCTTTTATACAATTGGTAGATGAGCTACCGTCTTTCAATCGCAATGACGATGGGTATTTTGTAATGCCCATTGCGGATAAATTTAAAGAAATGGGTACTGTTCTCATGGGAAAGGTAGAATCTGGAAGAACTAGGAAAGGAGAAACCCTGTTACTAATGCCTAACAGATTACATGTTACTGTAGACCAGCTATGGTCTGATGATATAGAAGTCACAGTAATTTCATGTGGTGAAAATGTTAAGATCAAAATAAAAAGTATAGAAGAAGATGATGTTTCCACCGGTTTTGTTCTTTGTGATGTTGTTCAACCTATTACGATAGGTAAAGTATTCGATGCACAGCTGCACATATTGCAGCATAAATCTATAATATGTGCTGGATATTCAGCAGTAATGCACATTCATTGTGCAGTTGAAGAAGTCGTCCCATTAGTAGAATAATGTTCTATTTGCAAATTGTCGACTTTTCAGTAGAGCGATTATAAATTTCGCACACACATATTTGCTTATAAATCTGTTATAAATGATACTAGCTACTTAATATTTGTACAGTATGCACAGAAGTTAGTACCGTTTATGATAATATAATTATTTGTTTTATAAACTATGCCTTTTCAAGTATAATGGGTCGCATGTGCACATACAACGTTCTTTTGCCAAAAAAAATATTGAATGAGATGTCTTAAGGATACATAAAACAATATTCGACGAAACTATTCACGATACATCGGCATATCAAACATTATTTTACGAATTTTGGCGGTTTTATCCGTGTTTTATATGAAACTGTAATACTAAGAAAGTAGAATTGGTTTTAAATTCATCATTATTACTGAGTATTTTTATGTATTTAAAAACGTTGGTGTTTTCTTAATCAATTTATTAGTCAATGTAGTAATCAATATACGAGTAAATTAAAAATAAATACAAACTGACTACATACACTATGAGGAATAACCTAATCAAGATATTTATTATAAAATTATTAAAAGAGGCGACAGAAAAACAGAATAATGCTCTTACAATTCTTACAAAATAAATACATGGCGATCCATAAGAAAAAAATATTATAGATCACTTAAAACTAACTATTGACTTATTTCTTTCTGTGGTTATTCTCATGAATAAATCAGTCCTATATAATTGTAATATAAAGTTAGCTTAATAATAAAAACACAATAAATAATTATGGCACCATTGTGAATATATTAAAAAAATATTAAAAATAAAAAATTAGTCTCAAACATAGAAAACAATTATGAAAACACTAAACTAAAGAACAAACAATATACTAACTACTAGTCTACTAAAGAGGAAAGATTTAAATTTTTGTTTGTTTGAATTGAAAAAGGCTCCGAAACTACGGAACGGATTTCAAAAATTCTTTTAGCGTTGGAATCTTACATACTACACCCCTTATAAGAAAAAGATAGGAACCGTGTTAAAATTTCGAAAATGTAACCCGATTTGTGAAAAATCAACCATAAATATTGCTTAATCTATTGACTACTAATAGAAAACTGTAAAAGCAAATGCTTTTGTATTCTTTTGAATTCCTATCCCCAATCCTTTAAAAGAGCGCGAACGAAGCCTTGGGCAGAAGCTAATCCATTAAAATAACGTATTCATTTAATTGAATTAGAAAATCCCTGATCCTAATGCAGTTACATAGTAGTATTAGTCCTTGAAAACCCGTAGCATTTCATTTGTTTTAAGTAATTTTTAGTCCATCGAGGTCAAATTTACCATGAATGTTTGCCCGTCTCCTTTAGGTAATAGTATTAGAAGTAGCGTCTTACCGGTACAAATCAGGCCACATTATTAGTACCAAAGTAATAACCCGGAAGTCCCAGAATTAGAATATGTGCTATATCTCAGGACTCTATCTTTTAAACCACTGAACGTATTTGATTGAAATTTGGTTTACGGTTCACTGGCACTGAAACAATCACTGGGACAATCTATGGCTTAAAATACTGAACCTATTTGAGTGCAACTCTGTTGAAATTTGTACATTCGGACAATACCGTCTAGATATCATTACGTCGTGTTTTACTTAAATAATGTGATTGGATAGATGCAAATGAGTTCACTTGGTCACAACCGCTAGTGATCATGTCTTCTACGATTACCTTTTTTTAATTTTTGTGGCGGTCTCTGTAATCGTCTTCTACGACAGTGCTGTTGCAGTACTTATCTCATGTAGTTTTAACTATAGTTTTGTAGCGTATTGCGTCGCTTGCTCGTTATAATATGTATAAATAAAATTGCAATTCTTTGGTGTATCCTGATTCAAACATCTGTTTTTCGTCTTGGTGGTGTACTTTATTTCATATTCCCTATTTAATGCAAATTCTAACTCAAAGATCGTCTATTCCACTGGTACCACAAACTCACCAATTGAGCCTGACCTGCTCTTTCCCCATCGTTTGAGAAATCATCATTGAAAAAATTTAATAATAAAATTATATTGGATATAATTATTTTTCCTTTGATTCTGTAAAAGTAACAAGGAGTATATGCATAACATAATAGTTTAAAAAAAATTAGTAAAGTAAATGTATGTACATAACTTAGATATATGTAATTTGATGAGCGCTCGAGTGGTCTACTGTGGTAGTACGCACTCACTTTTTCACGTGTCACTGTTTAATTTTTTTTTTTTTCTATAAACTGGGAGTTTAAAAAATAAACTATTTCGATTTTTCTAATACAAAAAGCAAACATGTCAAAAAGGGAGGCGTGCACTCTTGTGTTTAGGTCCATTGGTGTTTTCAATGTAAACTTACATTAGTTACTTTTTTGCTATACCTACCTAGTACATTTAGTTGTTAATAGATTATTGAATAAGCTGTTCATATTTTAAATTAAATTTAACCATTTTATAGCAATTTTAAGATTTCGAATATTGTTTTATAATAAAACCGTTGGTAAAAAGAAGTGTCATTTGCATATACGGCACTCACTTTAATTATTTTTTTTGTAGAATAATGTTTTATGCGTACTTGCGGACGAAAAAAATATAAAATTTTACGTAGTAAAATGTACTAGGTTTATAAGAAACTGGAAAAATAGGGGAAAAAATAAGACAAGTCCTATTAGATACCGTTATGTTATATAAGTTATTATTAAAGTATTTAGTTCAGATTTAAGTTCTAATAAGTAAGCTTTGGTATTTCGTAAAAAAATGTTTTATGTGATTATAAATACTGTCTTTGTGGGAAATTTATAAAACGTAGTGTAAATTGTATCAAACCATTATATACAGCATATTTTATCAAATTTTGGGTATTCATTGTAACAAACACCACTCGCTGCTACTTCGTCGAACAACGTTACTTAGGATGAAGCGACACGGCACGCGCAGCTAATTGCGCAGGAGCAAGGCGGAGAATATTGTTGTATGTGATCATGCATAGTTATTTTACGTAGTCGGCGCGGATAAAACTTTATTCGAGCACTGTATCTTTTGAATTAATTGATAAAAATATATAAAAATAGTATTAATCGATAGTTTACATTATAAGGATGACGAATTTAACATAATATGAATTTCGACACATGTGATCATAACACTTTATTCTTCCAATGGGACGAAGTATCCATAAAGGCTCTGCTTTGTTTAGTTAACACAAAAACTGGGGAGAAGTCCAAAACGCGTCCCCGATATATTAAAGAAGGGCAGGCAGCTATAGTTCGAATAGCCTGCTCCGGAATTATATGCTTAGAACCTTTTAAAAAATTCAATCAATTAGGTAGACTGACTCTACGCGATGAAAACAAAACTGTAGCCATTGGAAAGGTTTTAAAAGTAATTGAGTGAACTATGATTGTAGTTAGGTCAAACAAATATAGTTTTTCTCAAATGTACAAGGTAAAATGTGATCCAAAGGATTTTTGCAAGCCAATTTGTAATGTAAGTTGACTGAGTTTTACTTGTAAATATATCTTTAGGATACTTATTTATTGCACATAGTATGTGAACATATTATATTCAAAATTAAACAAAAATTGGGTACTTGCCAACTAATCAAATTCAATACTTTTTGAACTGTCAAACGACAAACGACAGTTTTCTATAATTTTTGTACAAGATTGTGTATTGTGACGTCACACGAAACAGCATACGTATTTCTTGAAATTAGGTAAAAAAATTGACTATAAAATCAATTAATAAAAGTGTGATTATTTTTAATATTTTATTGTATTGAACAGTCGAAATAATTTATTTTTGATTAAGGAAAGTACCCAATTATTACCTTTTGGAAAGTTATATATCTTAAATATGGACTGTGTTAGGTATGTCACTTAAGTAAACCATGTAACAGGATTTTTTTTACTAAAGTTCAATTAAAATATGTTTTTAATGAAAGGCTAAATATTGTATTAAACCGTAATATTATCTCAAGTACGTACGTAGATTTTAAGTAAAATATTGTAAATGTCTAATTTACACAACTTAATGTTAATTCAAACGTTCCATTCAGTTAGCACTAAGTCTATAAACTGTCAACATTAAAAATAAAGGAGTCATTCATTTGCGGTTACAAAATATTATAAAAAATCATAATTTTAATTATATATAACTCTGAATGACTGTCACTTTCATGTGTTATGTAATTCTTGTCAATGTTAATTAAGTATAGATATTGAATCTGATAGATATTTTATCTGTAAGTGATTATTATATGACTGCCTCATTGACCGAGTGGTCGCAAGTGTGACTGCCGGGCGAGGGGTCTCGGGTTCGATTCCCGGGTCGGGCAAAGGGTTTGTAAAAACCTCAGTAGTAGCACGGAGTCTGGAAATGTGCCCGGTATATGGCAATAGGCTCACCCCCTATTACATGGGACTCATAACATAAATAGTGTAAAGTGGGTGTTACATTGTACAGTGGCATTAAGTGCCGTAATGTGCACCTCTGCCTACCCCTTCGGGGATAAAAGGCGTGATGTTATGTATGTTATGTGATTATTATATAGCATCGTGTTTAACCTTTATATAATAAAGTGTCGTGTACGATTGCATGTAACGAATTAATTCTAATATAGTATTGTATGAATGTAGAACATTACGTGTAAAACTTCAACTTTTAGTATAGTCACTCAAATTTGATAGCAGTAATGATAATTTTTTGGGCATCGAAGCATACTTTATTGTCGAATTGTTATTTTATTCAACACTTGTGTACAAAAATTATGAATGTGATTGACAAATATATCAGTTTCAACGAGCAAACATGTAGTTTCCATGTTTTTATTTATATTTTCTTCCTCTTTCTAAGTAAAACAGTTCGTTAAATATCTATTGGTATAATGGTCGTGGTGGCCCGGAGGTTTAAGACGCCCACTTCTCATGCATGAGGGTGCGGGTTCGAAACCTACCAACGGCAAGTACCAATGTGACTTTTTCCGAGTTATATGTACTTTCTAAGATTATTTAGACACCACTGACAAACGGTGAAGGAAAA